TCTTTTTTCTTTCTTGACCGGCTGGTTCACCTAACTGCAGGAGTGCTCTTTTTCTTTATTCTTTAAACACCACTCTCTCCCACTCTGAGGGTGCTGTACCTCCTCTATCCATAAATGCCACGATCAAAGTCTTCACTTTATTGGTGTTAGACTTGACCTCTCACCCCACTCTGCCAAATGTCAGGACTCCACATCTCTCTGGTCCAGCTGTTATAAATAAAGGGCTGGGGTCCCAGAACTTGCACATCCCCTGAATCCAGGATGTCTTGTAAACGGCCTCTCAGACATGACCTTACTGAGAAGAGAAGGTCGTAATGCCAAAGCGGGCTGATAGCAGATTGATTCAGTGCAAAAAGTGTCAGTGCACTTACAGCAATCAGCGGCAGGACTCTCAAAGCTGGTGGTTGAAAATAAAACATTTTGCCCCTTTAAATTTTTGTTGCAGATCACCCCGACCAGCAGGAGCAAATGTTCAGGTATTCTCACATGGCTTTTTTTTTTTTAAATACATGTTAGAGTCAGGGTATTTTAGTTCTATTTCTATGCACAGTTTGAGGAAGGTCATAAGAGTGTTCCTGCTTTCAGCAAAGCCTCAATGTTGTTTTGTTGAACTGTCCAGCAGAGGGCAGAGTAAGACTGCTTAATCCATTGATCCGCCCTCACCTTCCACCCCTCCCTCTTCCTTTCTGCTCACATCCCTCTTATGATAAACTTTAAAAATCTATTTTTCTTCCACTCGCTCATATTTTACCCCAGAACGAGAGATGGCACTTTTACAGCTCAGGATGATTTGTTTTCTTTCTTTGTTCTACGAGCAGTTCCCCCTCTTTTTCTCCTTCTGTCTGCCAACTCAGTGGCTCTTTGCCCTGCATGGGTTCCCCCTCATTCCAGCCTAACATTCTCTCTCTCTCTGGAAGAGGCTGTCACGGCCAAATCGTGAATTTATGCACCCATGGGAGACGTCTGCAGCTCTCCATGACTCCAGAGACTGAGAACACACAGACTTGTGAGCTTCATGTGTACATATACATTAGACATGTGCATGCTTTACACACACAAAGGCATGAACACA